GTCCTCCTCTAGAGAGTGAGTGGGTCTCCTTGGACTCCTCTCATCTCTAAGCTCGAAAATATTTATAGACACAGGCCATGGTCGACATAATTGCTAGATTATTACCAAGTACAAACGACAGTCTCTGGAACCACAGGCTATGCAGCCCTCTCTGCAGAAGTCGGATATACAGGATGAGACAAGGCATACGTGGACAGACGGTGCGCTACGTCAGCTTCATGTCCGGAACAAAAAGCAGCAGCGGCAAGAAATCTTCAGTGAACGCCGAAATAAGGCACGTCCACGGTGGACTGCCATCGTCCAGAAACTGATTTATGAGCTGTGCAGCGACAGCTCGACGTGCGGGGAGAGTAATAAACCGAAATAATGACGTAATTGTGTCACGCCCCACCATTCCTTCGCCAATGTTCGCTGCACGATGGCGACCTCGGATATTTTCAGTCACTAGACGATTGCAGAATGAATTGAAGGTGCGGCGCGTGTGGTCAGTAAATCTATCCACAGGGTCAGTCAGGTCTCCAATGTGATAGCCCAGCCACCGTTATGGAGCCAACATTTTAGGAGGACGCAGAAAGCGACAGTCTTCTGATAACCGCAGACCTTCAAGTGTAGAAGAAAGTAGAAGCCATTGATCTAGTCCAAAAATCTCTACCGCAGCCTCTTAAAATGAAGACGCCATCGACTTATCGATGAAATCCAGAAGATGCAGGAGTAAGCCTCATACTACTTTCGAAGCGCCAAGAGAGAACATTTCATCCCCAGCGTAGCCTGAACACTTTTAAAACACGACATTCGGAGTCGGGTATCCGTTGTCGAGAAGTCTCATGCCACCCGTGAATATTGGTCACGTCAATATGCCTCTGAGAAGCCCAGAGGTGCGTTCATGTCCCTAAAAGAACCTCGCAATTCGGGCGAAATGGTAGTTTCGCGGGGAAGGTAGGCCTCTAAGATGTAGAGCACAGACTAGACTAGCGCAGGATGTGCTGCTATTGCTCACACAACAAGTAAGGCCACTAAAGAAGGATGTTTATTTGACAATGGCACGCTCCAATAACTCGTGGATATTTTTATCTTGAGCAGAGGTTAGTGGATAAGGTGTCTGACTTATGATCAGAAGATTGCAGGTTCGAATCCTGTCGGGAACCTTTTTTTTAGGGGGGGGCTCGAAAATCATACACTTTAGTTGATAGCCCGTAAAACCATATTCTCTCTCTTAGGCAGAGGTTCCGAGTCTCGAAGTCACGACCAGAGTGGTGATCTTCGCCTAGTTCCAAGATATGCCCAAGGGTAGTCAGCACGGTTCTTCCACCTGCCGCATCATAGGCCCTGATTCTAACGAAGTTCACTTTGATTTCTGATATTAAAAAATGCCCCCAATATCTATAATGGAATAACAATATAGGCGCATATATCAGATATTGAAGCTGAATAAAAACTCATATGACTGGAATATTTTAAATTGAAACTCCAGAGTGTTATATCAATGATTCAAAAACATTTATAGATTCTTTTGGATGATCAAACTATTTCAAGGCCTTAGCGAAATAAACTATTCGCCGTTAGGTCAATTTCATCTCCTGGTTGATTTAAATTTGAGTTAGAATTTTGTGGTAACTCTCTAGTTAATAAACAACATACACTGCGTGACATTGAAAATGAAACACCAAGAAATAGTGGCCAGAAAATTATGCAAATTTCAGGGTAGACGCGCCTAACCGAGTTATGCAAATGATGTAAAATGCGCAGCTCTCGTGCGCACATGGAGTAAGATATAAGGGAAGGAACTTGTAGAAAGGACAGTATTCGTGTCGTTATTTCTTCAAGGAAAATCATTGTAGAAATTTTGTTCTTGTGTCAAAAGACACGTGTAATAACAGAGAATGCCAGGTCATCGTAAACGGAGGCAGTTCAAGCAGACAGACGCTTTTACGAGGGGCATGGTGATCGGACTGAAACGGGCAGGTTGGTCCATACGTCAAATCGCAGCTGATACACAACTTGGTGCGTCCACGGTGCACCGACTGTGGAGAAGATGGTTGGAACAAGGAAATGTGGCAATTTATAGGAATGCCGGTGCAACCAGAGTGACGTCAGCACGTGTGGATCGGCGTATCCTTCGACAAGCAGTGGCGGCCCCACAAGCCACTTGTACCGCCATCCTGCAACATGTGCAAGACACCCTAGATCATTCCATCTCGACCAGAACCATTTCCCGTCGATTGGTTGCTAATGGCTTGCACTCATGCCGTCCGCTAAGAAGACTGCCATTGACCCCACCGAATAGGCGCCAACGTTTGGAATGGTGCCGGGCTAGATCGACGTGGATGACGGAATGGCCCAGGGTCGTGTTCTCAGATGAGTCGCGTTTCTGCTTGTCCAGTGATAGTTGCCGTGTACGCGTGTGGCGTCGACGTGGAGAAAGGTCCAATCCGGCAGCAATTTTGAAACGCCCCACCGTGCGACAACGTGGAATCATGGTTTGGGGCGCAATCGCGTATGATTCCAGGTCACCTTTACTTCGTATTCAGGGCACTATGACGGCCAAACGATACGTTGATGCTGTGCTGCGACCGGTGACACTCCCCTACCTTCAGGGGGTACCCAATGCCCTTTATCAGCAGGATAACGCCCGACCGCACACTGCTCGCATTAGCCAACAAGCTCTGCAAGATGTACAGATGCTTCCCTGGCCACCGTACTCTCCTGATCTCTCACCAATCGAGCACGTCTGGGACATCATTGGACGCCATTTGCATGCCTTGCCACAGCCGCGTTCAGAAGACGAATTGTGGCAAATGGTTGAGAGGGAATGGAGAGCCATCCCTCAGGACGCCATCCGTACTCTGACTCTCTACCTAGACGTGTTGCTGCGTGCATCGCCGTCCGCGGTGCTCCTACTTGCTACTAAGCCGACGCCGTTCTCGCTCTGTATTATGACTATCATTTTGAAATGAAGATCACTTATTGTTCGTCCCTGTCTCTCTCTGTCTGCCGAGTTTCATCACTTTCTGGCCACTATTTCTTGGTGTTCCATTTTCAATGTCACGCAGTGTATAAACTTAACACAAACATAGAACAGAAAACTTTGAAAAAATAATAGTTAAATTTTCATACTTAAAAATATAAAACTGTGTGTGCAGTACAGAATACAGAATGATATAGTTGAAACAACAAATTCAGTTAAACCTCTCTCTAAAGGACATCTTGTTGTATAGCCAAAGTGTTCTATAGAGAAAGGTGTATTCTTACAAGACAGCAGATACTTTGGGAAACAATCATAATTTTGGATGTGAAAAATGTCCCTTGTAAAAAGGTATGCTCTAGCGGCAATGTCAACCCATGATATATTTATTTAGAAAAATAAAATTTTGGGTGGATCTCAATAATTACTATCTTTTAAAATAAAGATATTCTTTTTTTTTATTAAAGGCACAAAAATAATGACTGGACATAAATTTATATCTATGTTAGCCTTACTGGGAAAAATTAAATCTAACAATATTTATATCTATTAGCTCACACCTCATAGAAATGTATATTAGCTTAAATATATATATATTATGTAAAAAAAGAGATTTTCTGCTTATTTTGATTATTTTGAGGATTATGTTATGGTAATACAGTCGTGGTTAAAATCTTGAAACTATAATAATAAAAATGTGAAGATTAGAAATATCTTTAATTTTGCTTATGGAATATAGAAAACATATTTTGATAAAAAGTACTGCCTGTCTCAAGGCGAGTAGAAAAAGGGAAAAATTATTTACACAATTACAAAGATTTTTAGCCGGCCATCGGGAAAAGGGAGAGAAAATATATTTATTTTACTGGGCTGCTAACCAAAGGCATCGGGAAACACCAACAATGAGTTTTTATAGGGGAAGCGTGACCTCTGGCGGTCGATTTAACAGAGTATTTGAATCTATGAAATATAATTTTAAATAAAATAATATTTTAATATAACATATATACATGCTCAACACCACAGATTATTAAGTCAAAGATGATTATCACTAAAGAATAAAAAATATTATTTAAAAATAATATCCAACATAAAATCCTGCAGGTTGGCCTCCCGGTGGAGAAATATCAAATTATTTTTGTGAAAGTAGAAGATAGAAAACTCTGAAAAATAAATTGTAACAAAATACTGCCTTCGAGGATAAGTTTATTGCTTTATTCAAACGATCTCTCAAGCTTTCTCTCGGGTATTACAAAACCTTACCACAAGAGTATACAACGAAATAAATCCTTAGATAGTAGTTAAATATTCATTCCGTTGTATACTCCTGTAGTAGGGTTTTGTGATACCCAAAAGCCTGAGAGTTTGTTTAAATAAAATAAGAAACTTATCCTCGTAGACAGTGTTTTGTTCTAAATATCAATTTATTCTAATGAAGATATATATTTTTTCAATGCTCTTTTTCTTAATTGTTTATTTTCTTTTTGATAATTCTGTTACCTACTCTACTACAATATGAATTACTGTAAATAGTTTCACGCGCAATTATCGAGATCGGATATAGCGTGTCTTGTTTACAACTGGTAATAAATACATTTCATTGCCTTTGTCACTAGATTATTAAAGGTATCATAATGGTTTTTTTAGAGATTTCAGGACGATTCTGTACGGACTTCAGTTGATAATAATCGCTACCAGGCTAAAATTTCCATTGAATTGCTAAAATATATATATATATATATAATCGTCCTCCTAAAATTATCGACCTATGTGTAGAGGATAAATATGAGCTAATTTCAGAGTACTTCTCCTTCTCTAGAAATATTGTCACAGAATTATATGTATGTAGTCGTCTACTCGGTTTATTATCATTAGTCTATATCGCCAGCCTTTTATTTGTAAATATTTTGCTTATATAAATCTCAGTTGTTATTTGATATTGACAATATTTGTAAATACTTTTCCTGATAAAATAAATTTGCTTTATGATTACTCATTCTGGTCTCAATCATAACCTTGATATGAACGAATCAAACATTGACATGAAGCTGCAGCAACGGTGTAAAAATAGGTCAGATATGTGAAAAATATAGTAAAAATGTGATAATGTACTGGGATAAGATACATAAATTATGAAAAAGAAAAAGGCATCTCCTTATCGTTAAACTGAAAGTTGCTGATGGCTTGTGCCATCTATCTTTTTCATAATAGGTCAGATAGTGTCACACCCAGTATTAACAGAAAGGCACAAGAGAACAGATAGGAAATTGAGTTTCAACTTGATTTCAAAATCTCTGACTCATACACTTCCTTTAGGCCAACACTGTTGACATTTTAGTTACACTCTGACCAAAGTGGAAGTAGCAAGCATTCTCTCAATTCGGTTTTTGGAAAAACAACTTGATCAGAAGATATAGATGTCTATTGCCCAACAAATATTTTGGAGCAATAATAAGTTATGGTAAATTTGTATCTATTTTCTTCCTTTTCTGATTTTTTATATTGTTGCATCATGATTAATGCGCCTATTTTAAAAATTATTTATAATATTATTTTCCAAATATTTCAAATCTAAATTTTATATTTATTTATTTTTATTAAACAGAATATTATTATGAAATATTATGTACTATAAAATAATTTGTATTTTGATACACTGAATACCCAACCTGCTTCAAACTTTGATGTGATAAATAAAGAGATATTCTAGGTGCTACCTAAAAATATAGTTGTCTTATTAGGATGGTTGAAACACGTTCTGGAAAGATGCAAGACGCGTCTAAGGAGAGAATCAAGACTGAAGAATCTGCCAAACCGCAGCCTAGTGCAACACTATTGTGCTGAAGAAATAATTTTATAACTTTATTTTTGTTGAGAAAAGTTATAGATTCGTATGATAGAAAGATACTTTATTGCTCAAAGGTATAAAACAATAAAGAAGGACAAAGAGATCAAATTATATATACATCAGTAGCTCACGCCGGCCTACCCTATCCAATAACCACTAGCCAACTAACAATCCAACAAAACTGCGCTATATAGACAGGGATGTCAAATAACATAGACAATGCTAGAATGCTATGCAAATCACAAGAGTATTCCATCGTATAAATATCTGGAATTTTCACTTTCAACAATTTTATTTATATAATCAATGAAAATACACAGCATAATATACCTCTGT